CTTCCCACTTTTTCCGCTTACGTTCGTTCACAAGCTGTCGAATCTCCACGTTGAGATCCCTGATACGGGGATTTCCGGGATCGGCTTGACGAAGGTTGTCACGCTCATAGGCTAGAACAGCCGCTTCTGCAGGAAAGATTGGACGGGGGTCCGTAATGCATCCTGCCGGTACGAAGCTAGCTGCACCAGCAGTGACAACCCTGCGGAATTTACGCAGCTATTAATATTCCGTGCCGAGCCATGAAGACTGTTATCTCCTCGATCTTGCTCTGAAGCAGGTATAGGTTTCTGATCCAGGGTTTGACTCAATGCCAGCCCTGAGCAGAGGTATGCGAAGAAGATGTAGCCCTATGGACGTACAACTTTTGAGGGATTTCGCCGATTTAAACGGGGTTAGATCGCCGAAACAACAGCCCTTGGTCGAGTAAAACCCGAGTCATTCCGGTACGTGGAACCGGCTGTCGTAGGAATGTTTCGTTATCGCTCTCTTATTTGGATGCATACTTGTATTCGTTTAAGATTTCGTTTTTCGTATGCAATAAAGTTCGTAAAAAGGAAATGTACAGGTAAATAAAAGCTCTGTGTATGTACATTTTAAGTGCATTATTTCAAAAATGCCAAATTTTGAGTTGTGTAACTTTTGAAGATCGTTTGCGATATGTATGAACTTAATACATACTTTATTCTACTGTTAAGTTGGAAACATAATTAAATGCTTCCAAGCCCAAATTGCTTTCCTAAAACTACATCCACAAATACATACATATCGTCGCCCTCAAGCCAGAAGCATGAATGTGTAAATTTATCAGTTTTGAGTTATTGGGTAGACTTGATTAACCTTTGGATGTTCTATGTTATACCAAAACCCAGAATACCATGCGTACGCGGAAACATCATATTTTATCATTTTAATTGCATAAATGTACAGTTAAGTCTCGTAAAAAACACATTCATGTTTCGGGCATACGAGCGACGATATATAGGTAGGTAGGTACATATGTATGTACATGTTTTCATTGTTAGGTGCAATCCCGTATTCCTCGGGCTCGGACTAGTAAAGCTGTCAAAAAATAAAAATCCCGTATTCCTCGGGCTCGGACTAGTAAAACTGTCAAAAAATAAAAATTCGCTCAGAGCGAGAGAGTAACATTGAAAAGTACGGGATCGCTTTCTAGTAAAAAATGGTAACTTCTGTCAACTTCAACATAACCTCCAAATTTTGGTTGTAAATTTTTGCTTATTTTGTATGTAAACACACTCAGCTCACACATGTAAATAACCAAAAATACTTTCAAATTCATTAGTAATTAAATACTTTTCAACATGAATTAGCAGAATGTTGCACTTTTCTTTTGTTTACAATTTGGTTGCCAACACACACTACAGCTGATCGTTTGATACATTTACCAGAATTTACCAGCAAAAAATTCTCGGACTAAAACTGGTAACTTCTGACAGAGAGAGAACCGTATTTTCTCTCTTTTTTGTCCTCTCAATAGTCAGAGAACCGAGTACGGGATCGATTTCCAGTAAAATCTGACTATTTCTGACTAGTCCGGACTCGTACGGGATCGCAACTATTAATTTTTTCTTATTTACAGCCAATTTCACGAATGATTTTAATTTTTTGAATTTTATATGGAAATTTACAGATAATAAAATATCGTTCTTCCATTTAAATTGCTGGTGAAATCGGCTATTAAATATTATTTTTTTTATAAATATACAGTTCCGTGTATATCCCAGTTTCAAACTTTGCACAATACTTAAAATAAAATCCAAAAAACTTTTATAAAAGTTTCGAGCTTATTAATTTTATTTCATATAAAGATTTTTAATATGCAGTTTTTTAGCTCATTCAAATCCAGTTCAAATGGCTAGAAATTACCGTTTATCGAAAATGTTACGGTTTTCTTCCTTATAAAAATAAATATGGAATGCAACGTTAATATTTAGCTATTTAAATTTGGCACTAACAACGAATGGGCTACAAAACTTCATACTCAAGATCTTTAAAAAAAATCGTATCAAAAATTTTGAAATTTTTACGAGTTTTTTATATATTGCACAAAGTTTGAAACTTGTATTTACATAGTTTTTGTTAAAGAATGACCTATATTTTTATAAAAAGTAACTAAAATTAAATTTAAAAAATATAAGTTTCGAAAACATGTCAATATATGCTGCGGCAATATTTTTTCGAACACTGTACATATGCACTAATAAATATGTATAATAAGTTCATATAAGTATTCTTTATTTACATTCTATAAATGCGCAATCATTAGATTAATTTATTGTCTCGCAACTTACGAATTTTTTTTTACACCATTTCATAAATATTTATACAATTTTAAAAATCCTATATTTAAAGCACCATTTTACCCTCTATACATACACACGAATTACAAACGGCTTTGGGAATGATTTGTAAAACCTTAATTGATTCATGGTACACTTTTGTATACAAGTGTATGTATGTACATACATACTACATATATAATTACTTAGTGTTTTTACCATCCGCACCGCCAGCTTGTTTGTCTTGGAGACGACGACGCCACTGCGCAATGTATACGACCCAAATGAAGGATACAATGCTCATTGTTACCGTACGCAACTGCAATAAAAATTTCATAATTTAACATTTAACTTTAAATACAAAAATTTATGAGCGCTTATACCATAGGAGGAACGTATGTCATATTAATTATAACTGGAATGGATAAGTACTGCCAATTGGTACGGAGTAAAGGCCAATAAAGTTTCTTTAAATTGGCAACAGCTACTTCATGCGAATTCATCTGTTAAAGAGAAGTTTGGATATTATTTTTTTTTAAGTTGGGAATTTCATTAATGCACAACTGTTTTGGCGATGCGTTTAAATTTACCTCAAATATAGAGAGGAAATAAAGTGAAAGTAGTTGATAAAATGGAGCGAAAACTAAGCGCTCGGACAGGAACTGGAAGAGCCGACGGAATTTCAAGTCATGTCTGAAGAGGCGTTCGACTGTTTGGTAAAAATAATGTGGCACGCTGCCGCCAAAAATTAGGCTACAAAAAACAAATGAAAATTCAGTATGCAAATGTTATGTAATGGATATGGGTTGAAATTTATTAAAAATAACTACACACCAACTTTCGTGATAAGAGGTTAACAAGATTAGTCCTAGCGATAATATTTAACACGCTGCTTGCAAAGATAACAATTTATTTGAAAGCACTATTACTACATTCGTAGGTATGTCTATATAAAAGTTGCCTTTATGAGGAAGACTTACCCAAAAAGTCCGTATGCGATGACACTTTCCTGGTTGATCTTTTTATGGCCAGCAATGCGCTGCGCTGTGTAATTTGCCGATGCTGCTAGTACAGAACTAAATATGCAAAAATAAATATATGCATGAAATTTTCCATATAAACAATTCACATACGTATGTACATATCCAAATATCTATACATATGTACATATACATATAGATAACTTGCTGCTCAAGCGCTCACCTAGTTATGGATTTGGTGCGCACCGGATGATTAAAAAGCTGCTCCAAGTAAACTCCGAGAAGCGAATAAACAGGCTTTGAGAGTGACATTTTCTATTAAAAAAAGAAAGTAAATTAAAAAAATTAATTTATTAAAAATTAATAGGAGCATTAGTTTTATAACTTTTTGGAGAAAAAATTAACTTAATACAATAGCTGAGTAGAAAACTTCATTTGTTCAAAGATCAAAGGCCGATTTTAGTTTAATTCTTTTTCTTTTCAATTTCTGGATGCTTTCAATGTGGCCTACATCCACTTTCTATTCGTTACCTACGAAACTTTTTTATTTCTAAAAATAGTAATGCATTTGATTGCACGTTCAAGTAAAATTATAATAATGATGTGAAAGAAACTAACTGGTTTGTGAATTTGGCTGGTCTTCTTGTTCTTATCGGATTGTAGTCTGTTGAGTCAAACTGGTGTTGAGTGAATCCAATAAGATTCTTACAGAGTTGTATTGGGAACAATAGGGGTATAAATATGTTTTTTTATTACCTAATTTAAACGGTATATCATTTGCTAGGATTCAAGAATTAAGTTATATTATTTGGATAAATTTAAGAGAAACAACCTATGTATGTAGGTACATAAGAAAAAAACTATTTTTTCATCAAGATAATAATTATTATGGCAATGGTTATCAAATTTTTCCAACCAGATTTCAAAGCAAAAACATTTAACAACGCTATTTAATATGGCTTAGCTAAATTAGTCCATTCCTTGAATATATATTATTAAATTCTTGTTCGCATCCTTACTTTTTATACATTCCAAATACAACACTGCGTCATAACCCCTTTTCAATGGCGAAGTAGGAAAATTGAGTGGAAAATTGACACTGACACAAGAGATGCCATAGCGCTTCAAAACTATCGATAGTTTAAGTTGATTCCAAAACCGACTGTCGATAATTGAATAGAAAATCACAGGTAATATTTCGCACGCAATAACTCTTAAATGACAAAATAGGTTTAAAAATTGTGACATTATACTAGGTTTACATATAAGTAGATTATCCTAATTTTCGAGCTGAACACCCTGATTTCTAATTAGAAAAAGAGATTACCCACACAACATTTGTCCCTCATTAATCTGTAATCATAAAATAATCTCAGATTAAATCAATAACTTTTTGGTGTACAACCTAGTTCGATCGATTATTTTTGCGAAGAAGAGGAGAAAAGTCAAATGTAACTGTAAGCCAAAACGAAAGCTATCAACTAAAAGAGGTTTGTAAAAGTATTTTTAATAAAATATTAAGTAAAAATATATATAAATTGCTTAATATAGCAGAAAAAATTTATCACAGTGGCACAGAGAAGAAACTTAACTTTTCGTTGCGATTTGAGAATAACAAGCACAACAAATTTGACAGCTAATAATTTTGAGATTTGCCTGTGTAAACGGGGTTGTTCAAAGCGAACTTTGATTGGGATTGTATTAATTTGTAAACATACTTTTAGAGTAAAATCAAAGGACGTAAATCTTGCTGAAAAAAAAAAACGAAAATAGTCGATAGTGCTAAAAATGAGATCGATAGTGAGTGACAAAATTCACTATCGATAGTGCAATCGATGTTATTGCAGTACTAGTTTGCCGTTTTTGTTTTTCTCAACAGAATTCACTGAGGAATTATTGTTCTATTCATAGCGCAAAATATAGACGATAAATAAGAGTATTAAATGCGTATACAGCTTGAATAAATTAAGTGTAAAGGTGCTCAAATAAGCGCAGCGCAAATTAGCAAAAAAGTATGCTGAATTTAAGAGGCGATACGTAGACCAGCCAACCAAATTATCTGCAGCACAGATTAAGTAGACGAGGGAAAGTGAGGCATTACCACTATTGTTGGTGTCTTGTCGGTCATCTTAAGCATTATTTGCAAGCCGATTTCTAAAGGTATTTGATTACCGGTGAGTAACGTTACTGAAAAGTAAATTTTCGTTCGATATGATATTCCACATCTGCTCTAAATATTCCTTTACCAACAATTTTTATTAATATTTCAGATACATATAAGAAAGAACGTGCAGCTCTCTCCGCCACAACAATGTACTGTCTACAATGTCTGCTGCCAGTTTTGCTTATACCGAAGCCAACAAATCCGGCACTCATGGAGACGCATGTTATGTTCATTGTTCTCTACCTAATTGGCTTCTTTCTAGAGCGAAAGCCATGCACCATCTGCAGCTTAATATTTTTAACAGCAGTATTTCTAATTTGTTATAGCGGAGTAGGAAATTGTATTTTTTGGGGCAACTGTGAAGGACATCAATGTGAAAATGGGTAAATAAGTGTACCGTGGCCGTGTTCGGAGGTAAATGGATACGGTGCGAGTGGTGGACTTAGCATTTCACTTGCTATCGAGTTTACTCCATATTTATGTATCCTACAGATTAACAAAAGTTATTAAATTATGTCAGTTTCTTACTTTCTATAGTTCGTTTTTTTTTAATGTTGTGTTGCGGTCGTGTTTTTTGTATTATAATTTATGAAAAATGTTTTAACAAAATATTATGTGTAACACTTTTAAGTCATTATTTTCCTTTTCAGTCACATATGTATAAAGGGTAAATGAATATTCTTTTGCTTTTTTCCACAATAATTATTTTTACCCTTAAATGTTAAGCCGTAATACGCCACTGTTCTTCAAACTGGCCTCTAATTTATTATTCAGATAGCTTTAATATTAAGCCTTTAGATGCAGATTGTATTCTAATCGAAAGCTTCATCAATATGCTTTTGTCTGATAAGCCATAAACTTATCACATTCGGTTCAGTAAGGGAGTATAAAAGACGGCTCGGAAATAGTTTATGATTGAGAATCAATAAAATAAACCACCCACAATACACATAATCGTACACACAAATGTATGTACTTATTTAAATTACATTTAAAATAAACTCAAATATATAGCAAAGAAAAAGTTATTAAACTGCATATGTAGCTAGATATTAAAAGTTCTTAGATTTATCAAAAGACGAACTCTGAACAACTTGTGCTAGCAATTGTCTGTGTGAATCTTATTTGAAAAATACGGGCATGCTGTTGTATAAACTAAATAATAATTTAACAAATACCTAGTTCTCAAAAATATATATTTCTAATCGTCAACGTTACTATTTTTATTATAAACATGGAACGAAAGTGCATAAATTTGGTTGTTATTCCCTTTTTATAATATGTACAGTAAAATAAACATGATAAATAATTAATTTTCAAATGTGTTGATGTAGTTTTAACCAAATGTTTTACATTTTAACTCGGTAATGAAAGTGAAACAAATTGATTTTTAACTGTTCACTATCGAAAGAAAATGGTAATCTCAATAAATAAGTCTGAATTATCAGTACTAGGGGGTCAAATAGATAACCAGCTATCTAAAAAAACATATACAGACGGATCGGCGGGATAGTTGACTAATCAATGTCTGGTTCTGAAAACGATGGAATATTAGAAATATCAGAGGTAGGTCTGGATATGATTAGCATTAATTTAGAATGTCCAATACTTCACCCCTTCTATCTTATTATATTAAATCAGAAAATTAATAAAGCTCAAAATTAAATCAAATCAAATGTTTATTTATATACAGAATTCAAAGAGAAAAAAAATTAACATATATTATACATGCATAGATGGAATAAGTGATACTACAAATATACTCAACGCTATGGAATCTCATCTTCATACATAAGAGTATACATTCAAATTAGCAACTTAAAAGTATATCATTGCCAAAATCAAACTTGGGCAATTCAGCAGAGCACGAGGAAAAATCTCCATTGTCGTAATCCTCTAAATACAAATAAGGATTTACAGATTTGGTAAGCAAGACGTTCAAATCGTCCTCGGGTTCTTCGAATTTTTCTACATAACCATCCTGATTTTCATCATAATCTAATATGGGCCCGCCATTCCGGATTTTTTCCATTGCTTTTAACAAAGCAGCTTCATCTAGTCCATCATTTTCCGCCCAAATTTCCTCAACGCTTTTAGTGCAACTATTTGTACAGCACGATTTCGGGAAATCAAACAAATCGAATAGTTCCGATGGATCTAAAGCGTGTTTGGTTTTCTGCGCCTCATATTGGATGCACGATTTTTTATTTGCGGTACCACCTGCCAAAGGATTTATTTCTTTGAAGACACCTTTCAATGGAGTAGCGCCAATTTGATTATGCATAACATTTTTTAGTTCGCCAAAAGCTTGCTTCTTTTTTACAGAGTGAACTCTTGGATGCCCTTGATGCACCTTCGCCGATACAAATTTATTTTCATCTGCAAAAGTTCGCTTATCTTGCCAAATATTTGCCATTGTTGAAAAATATAAAATTTATCGCTTTTCTTTTTAAAACCTTCGCCTTCCAAATCCCTTCAAAAAAATCAACCCAAAACAGGCGCGAAATTTTTTTTCAGGTTTTTGAGCACAGTTACTTTTTTGGCATGATTCAATAATTGAATCATGCTTTTTTGGCAATTGTTTTTGTTTTGTTGGTTGTCAACAACAGAGTTGCATTTCAGACAGACATTTGATTGACGTGGTTGCCATGTATTACTTTTAAAAGTATACAGCAACAACCCAATGGACCTCGACACACAAATCTTTTCAAAAGGTCAGAAACCGGTTTTTCTTGGCGAGAGGGGAGGAGAGCCAGGTAAACTACTACTCTCTTCCCCTCTCGTAAGGCTTCAGATGGTCTGGAAAGCCCTACTCGCCTACATTCCATGAAAACTATCCAAACACAGTCCGTCTGTATATCGGCGATCAAAATCACAATTATTTGAGATTTTAAACCAACGTACTTGAGACAGCGACGGATCGCGGCGAAAGCTCCCGTGATGCGCAGACTTACTGCGTGGTGTATAAAACCGGTAACCGGCCGTCTTCACACACTTGAAAAACTCGCTTGCGTTCTCCTTTTTTCTATCGCAAGCTGGCATTTGACTGGGCATTTGACAGCATACTTTTTAATTTGTAAAATGTCGCTAAAAAAGAGGGTTCGACCAAAACACAACATTTTTCTACTCTGAAGAATTCAGTGAAATGAGAAAATACCTGTCAAAGAATAAAAATGATAGTTGAAAGCATGATAAAAATATAGTAAGGTAGAACCGCTGAGAGTTACTTTTAAAATTATTGACGTTTCCAAACATTTTAATTTTTAAATTTACTCACAAACTCACACACACATTTTCATTTTCAATCTCAAGCAACAACAATTTCGAACAATTTCAATTTTTTGTTTTCAATTTTTTTGGGGTGATTCGTGGCCGGAGACCAAAATAAAAACATCCACAATCCTCGTTGGCATTTATACTATGTGGAATGTTTTATTTCCTTTAGAAAATATTAAATTAGGTAACATTAATTTAATTAACAAATTCTACTTACACTTTTGTGTGATTCCTCCGATATGCCAGCCACGAATGCCGCTATTTTTCTTCGCACATAATGGCTGTCATATCGTTTACACAATTTGGCATGGCGTTGCCACTAACACAAAATTTTACAATTAATTTTCGATACAATTAGGATTGCCATATAACAAAAAATACAATTGTTTTATTAACTCCTAAGCCGCGCCAACACAATTTTATATGATTTTAAAATGCTGGCAAACTTCAAAAAAAAAATCATGGCCGACAAAATGAGAGAACGGTTCTACCTTGCTATGTTTTTATCATGGTTGAAAGCATGCGAGAGCTCGCAAATAGCTCGGTATGCGAGAAAAAGTATGCTTCGAAGTTTTTGCGATCTACACGTGCGGGATCTCGCATGCGCCGTCACGCAAGCGAGATTTTCCAGCACGTGAAGACAGCCAGTAAGCAACAAGAATTTTGAAATATTAGGATGCTGCCACACAAGTTAGATTAAAATATCTATACTTCTTATGGTGAAATGAAATATTGCGAGATTCAAACTATTAACAATACCAGGGTTCAAATCGCAATATTCCTGATCGAGTGATTACCCGAATAAAATTGCAGCTGTTTTCCCCATAATACAATTTAATTTGAAGAAGCACACTAGCTGCCGAATGCCGTGATCTCAAAATCACTTTTGGATTCCACTTACGTTCGATGTCGCTGCCGCGATTTGGGCCCAGATTTTTTAAACTAAATTTTCGCCTCTATTGCGAGTTTTGACTAGCAGTAGGTAAACGACTGTTAGTCGATTATTGATTATTCGTGGTATTTTCAAAGTCGTTTTCTCGTTCAATAAGTGCGTGTGAATAGTTTATAGTCGCTCATCCTTCTACAAACAAACAGTTGTAGAAAAATAAGCGATAAAGTCACTATCCACAGTCGCGTTTTGAACGAGAAATCGACATTCACAATACCATGGAAAAGCGATAATCGAATTACGAGTCGTTTATCTACTACTAGTCGACACTCGCAATAGGGGTGACAGTCGTTTGTGACCAGTTAGGTACAAGAAATAACCATATAATTTTACGCCAAAAGTTACACTGAAATAAATCGCGCTATGGTTACATTTTGCAACAAGTAATGTATTTTTTCAATATTATACGATTTTTTTCTGTTATACATTTCATTTACAATTGATGGACTTATTGCTAAATTAGAAATCAACTTACATACGTGTTAAACTAAAATGGATTTACTTTTTTATCTAAGATTTTGGTATTATAATTAATGTTATTGTAATTTTATATTATAATTATCAATAAAACAAAACAAATTTTTTTAAACTATAACAAAGCATTTGCACATCATGACTAGTAGCATTTACTTTAGGTTCATATATATTTATGTGTTTTAATTATATGTATGTATATATATGCGATAATTTTTTAAATTAAAATGACTAGAATGCTTGAATAGGACTAGAAATAACACTCCTGCTTGGCGCTTGCGTTTCTTCTACCATACATGTCAATGTGATTGCTATCAACCATCTGAGTCGAACTCTTATGTGATGTTTTGTAAAACTTGTATAAGTTTCTTCTTTAAACCTCAAAATGCCGTCGATGGACTACGGTTGCTGCGCGTGGGGGAACGTGAAGGGGAATGTGGCGAACTTCCGCGACTGTAACAGCTCGAACAAAAGCTGGAGGCATCCGATGGTGTTTTGTGGTGATAAGGAATCGGACGTTTGCGTGCGCTAAACAATGAAATAAAATTGTTTAATTGAAACGATTTTATTTTACTATTGAATTTGGAATAATAAATTTGGATATAAAAAAACGAAGTAAAAAAATGGTAAAACAAATTAAACTTACCGAACTTAAAGTGTTATACATAAATAGGGGTATAAGTTCAATCATCTAAAGGAAACGAATGATCATTAAATTAAAAATTACACATAAATTAAAATGAATGCTGTAAAAATAAACTTACCAAAAACGCTATAAAAAAATACAAAGAAAATCATATCTGAGCATAATCAATTTAAAAAATAAAAGTTTGTTTTTTATCAACACATTGCATTTACAAAATAATTATACATATCTTTATTTATGAATAGTAAAGTAAATAAGTAAACACACTAATAAGAAACTAGAATGCATGTAGAATAAGTATTATTGCATGAGAATACAGAAAATATGCAAAGAGTGTATATAAAAGGAAATCAAAAAATGGTGATAGTAAAAAGTGCAATGCGTTAAATAACTCGTAATAATAAACTCAGAACTAAGTTAACTTAAACGGTGATGGTATTAGAAGTGAATGGATCTAAACTTCTCGGGTTCACTATACATATGTATGTATATGTGTACTAGCAAATGCACTGCTCTGGCTTCCATTACTCAAATTAACAGCGTAATCGGGCAAATCATTATCTGAACGGAAATCGAAACGAATTTATGTACGTGAGCTAAATCATTGAAATAAAATAAAATTAATAGTTAAATTGTAAGTTTGTTTATTTATACATATATATTTATGCAGCCAAGCCTAACGCCTGCGGCGTTCGCGAGATGGTTCGTATCCTCTGCTACAAATGAAAATAAAGAAATGCAAAAAATATGTAATAAGAAGAAACTAAGAATAACAATGATAATAAAACATAATTAAATTAATGTGCAATACGGATTAAAATTGTTTAAGAAATTTGAGAAACACTTTTTTTGTTTAGTACCTCGTTATGCGACGTCGATCGAGAAAGCTGGGAGATCCACGACGTCGAGGAATTGATGGTGAACGGGAGCCAGTACGTGAGGAACCGGAAGTACCAGAGCTGCAATGA